CCCAGGTGTGCTGGGCTATGTCAAAGGTTTATGAAATACGGTCCCACATCACTCCAAATACCCGGCTAAGAGTATGTCAAGGTCAGCGAAGGTCCCCGTGAGAAAAGTGGGAAATACACGTCGTTGGTGGAGCGTGTACCCATGTTTGCTAGGCTTCGTCAAAGGATTATGAAACGCGGTTTCAGAACACTCTAGATACCCGGATAAGAGTGGGTCAAGGTCAGCGAAGGTCACAGTGAGAAAAGTGGGAAATACACGTCGTTGGTGGAGCGTGTACCCATGTTTGCTAGGCTTCGTCAAAGGATTATGAAACGCGGTTTCAGAACACTCCAGATACCCGGATAAGAGTGGGTCAAGGTCAGCGAAGGTTCAAAGTGAGAAAAGTGGGAAATACACGTCGTTGGTGGAGCGTGTACCAGGTGTGCTGGGCTATGTCAAAGGTTCATGAAAAGGTCAGAGAGCACATGAGACGCCGGAAAAAAATGGGTCAAGGTCAGCGAAGGTCTACCAGTGAGAAATGTGGGACAATACACGTCGTTGGTGGAGCGTGTACCCAGGTGGGCTAGGCTTTGTCAAAGGATTATGAAACGCGGTCCCAGTATAGAGGATCCTGTGATCTCTATTTCGTAGCTTTACGCTCTGTAACTTGCATAACGTTATCAGTAACCGCTCATGGAATGTCATAACATTGCAACTTAGCTGTAGAAACATTGAGCTTATCATGCTTACATCTAACATTTCTCGGCGAGCTCCGCCCACTTAGACAGAATAAAAGGGGCTCGCCGAGCTCGCTTGTCAGTGTTTTACCCTTGCTTTTATATATGTAATCATTTTACCGAATACAGTTTAATTACCCAAGTTTGAGGTGTCAACTGAACCACTGACACATGAAATAATTATGCACTACCGCAAATTGGTCAAAGGAATGTCGCATGTTTGCCCTGCCAGACGAACAAACATGCCAGTGGCAACACAGCCAAAGAATCTTCATCGGAGCTTTTGGACTGGACTCGTCATAATCATCTGACTTCCGCAAAGAGAACGTTAGCATACGTCCTGCGATTCATTAAGAGACTATCGCAAAACGTAAATGTTGACCTGAAGAAGCGCCTAGAAACCAGCATCGAACTTGCTCAGATGTCAACAGGGCCGTACACCACCGTGAAGAAAAGACATCGGGCCTCTCCGAGCACTTCGTTCGACCCCAAGAATTCATTACTTCATCGAGAAACATACTAAAGGTCTTGAAGCAGCTTAAATACAGCGTGATGAATTTGGAATCCTACGATGCCAAGGACGGCTTGGGAACGCGCACATGGCTTTCGATTCCAAACATCCAATGCTCATTGCTTCGAAAACGGATATCGCCAGAGCTATAGTGAAAGACGCACATCTTCCATACCATTGCAGCACTGCACAGACTATTGCCAACGTCAGACAGCGCTTTTGGATCCCGAAAGTGAGACAGCTGGCAAAGCAAGTCTTAAGAATGTGCGCTCCGTTGTCAGAAATTCACACAGTCTCCCTAATATCCTTAAATGGTACGAACACAGATAGGCATGTGGCAGCGGACACGTCCTTTCGAATACGGAGAATAGATTACTTCGCCCGCTGTCAGCCAAACGCGATGACCCATATCAAAGTGTATGGAATCATCATCACATGTATGGCGACGCGCCTCTTACATTTAGAACTGGTCCCAGACATGTCGACAAGCCAGCTGTTGAACGCACTGCGCAGGTTCTTCGCACGGAGGGGCATTCCAGCAAGCATCACGTCGGACAATGGACCATCGTTTTTGTTAGGCGAACAAATACTTCGTGAGACAGGCTTCCTCTGATAAATGACGTCACAATTGCAACTGCATTGGCTGAAGGGATATTCAGAGACCCGATGGTCAATTTAAACAACTCTATCGAAGAGAAAGGCGAGTAGGTAGATAAAGGAGGCTGGATACGGGAGGGCGTAGATAGATCTGAAGCCAAGAAGACACGTCTGCAAGCAAGGAGGATCGTCTTACAGAGAGACGCGACCTGGGCACTGATTGAGAGGCTCGGCCTCGAGAAGAAGGTTGAAAGCGGCTCGAGAAGACCGGCGGAAAACAGGCACCGCGAAAGCGGTTGAGGCGCTCAATAGATATACAGGCAGGCAACTATTTTCTTCTCGTCATCACGGAAACCATCCACCACCCACGAACCCAAGAAATCACCGACGCCAAGTAAGGCCACTCCAAAGTACGGTTCCAAAATCATCCACCCCGTCCAAGATGCACACAGTGGTATCCGATCCACAACAAACAGAAGAATCTGTGCCGAAAGCAGCTGCCTTCGTCAACCTCCAACGAAGCATAGCTGATGTCCACATCCTCGCAGGACAAGCACATGTCCTGAATCCAAAGGACCAAACCTTAGAACCTGTTCATGTCCTACTTGACACTGGAGCTGATCGATCTTTCATATGCAAGGAACTGGCGGATCGCTTACAACTGCGAGAAAGCAGCTCCGTGAACATATATGGGATATCTACGGGAAGTGTCATGAACTAACGGTTACCAAGATCGATACTGTCACGGAACCAATTTTAAGACGTAGTCTCAGCGAGGACGACAGGCGTTTCCTATACGACAATAATATTCGCTTGTCCATAAACGCGGATATTACGGAGGTACGACCCCAAGTCTTGCTTGGATGTGCTCACCTTTACGCTTTCCTTGGAGGAGGGTTTGCGGAACAGAAGACCCTCCCTTCAGGACTGACACTCAGTCGGGACACGAAACGACCTCAAAAGCGAAAAATGCAGAACGGCCACACGACGCGGCAGAAATCTTAACGGCCAATACCATCAGCCTGGACGACGCACAAACCTGGGAACAATTTTGTACTTTCGAGTCTACAGGAGTTCACGAGTTCCTAGGACCTACCGTCGAAGAGCGCAAGAAATTGGATCAAGAGGTATGGAAGACATTCGAACAAACGATCGAGAAAAAAGAAGATGGATATTACGTGAAGTTTCCCTGGAAAGAGGACGCTAAACGACTTCCAGACAATAAAGCAATCGCTGTGGCTACAGGCTATAGTATCCAAGCTGGCGAAAGAACCCACTACACTGCTCAGTATCACGATACAATCTGTAGTCAACGTGATAAAGGAATCATTGAGGAAATCGACGAGAAAACCTGTCAAAAGGGACCAATAATTCACTACCTCGCCCACCATGCAGTCCTCACACCCCATAAACAGACCACGAAACTCAGAGTTGTTTTCGATGCTTCGGCTCATCTGAAAAGGGAACCATCACTTAATGACGTTCTTCATCCAGGACCGGTCATCTTGCCAAAGATCTGCGACATCTTACTCCGATTCCGAATTGGCCAAGTCGCTGTAGTGAGTGACGTTGAGAAGGCGTTCTTGCAAGTTCATTTGCATCCGAAAGACAGAGACGCCACCAGATTCCTTTGGCTGCGGGACATCACTCAACCGGTCACACCCGCGAACACCATCACCTACAGGTTCACAAGGGTGACGTTCGGGTTGAACTGTTCACCTTTCCTACTAGCGGGTACAATAAGACATCACTTAGAAACGTGTTCGAACGACTCGGAATTAGCGAACGTAATAACGAACAACACCTACGTAGACAACATCATTGTCTCCACGTCTTCCATGGAAGAGGCACTGCAATTCTACACAGCTTCCAAACAGCTGTTCAGCGATCTCAACATGAATTTACGGGAGTTCCGCTCTAATAATGGAAGCCTCAACGCCCTCATAGCACCGACGGACCTCAGTTCCAACATCCTTCAGAAAGTTCTCGGTATACCGTGGCAGTCCGATACTGACGAACTGCTCCTGTCATGTAACTATCGGAACACGTCGGAAGTGATAACAAAGAGATCTATTTCGGAGCAAGTAGCATCGATATACGATCCGCTGGGGCTGCTTGTACCTCTCACATTCCGGGGAAAGCAATTTCTGCAGCAACTATGGAAGTTCGGGTACGACTGGGACACACCACTCTCCTCAGAGCACCAGGAAGAATGGCGAAAAATTGTGCGTGACGTTAACGGATTTCAGATCTCAATCCCAAGGAAAGTTGCGCACATCGGTACAAACGTAACCTAGTGCTCTTTGCAGACGCTAGTTCAGCCGGAATGGCCTCTTGTGCATACCTCGTTTCGGAAACCGGAACTCATCTCATTGCTGGAAAATCGAAACTTCCGCCTCTGAAGGACAACCCCACTATCCCGAAGTTGGAACTTAATGCTCTTACCATGGCTACACGGTTGGCATACTCCATACACACGGCGATCTGTCATCGAGTTAAGGTTGACCAGGTGTGCATATTGTCCGATTCAGAAATAGCCCTTAGTTGGCTCAAATCGCCAAACATGAACAAGTCGACAGGAGTCCTAGTCAAAACAGAGTTGCCGAAATAAGAGGGCTCAACGAAGAATTCGGCACACCAGTTCTTTTCGGCTATGTAAACACTACCATCAACCCATCGGATTGTGGAACAAGAGGAGTCACAAAGGTTGAGCTCGAGGACACATATGGTGGCATGGACCTGAGCTTCAGAAAGATACCGCAAATTGGTCAAAGGAATGTCGCATGTTTGCCCTGCCAGTCGAACAAACATGCTCAGTGGCAACAGCCAAAGAATCTTCATCGGAGCTTCTGGACTGGACTCGTCATAATCATCTGACTTCCGCAAAGAGAACGTTAGCATACGTCCTGCGATTCATTAAGAGACTATCGCAAAACGTAAATGTTGACCTGAAGAAGCGCCTAGAAACCAGCATCGAACTTGCTCAGATGTCAGCGCTAACACCGTTTGGAGAAAAGACATCGGTCCTCTCCGAGCACTTGTTCGACCCAAAGAATCATCAACTTCACTGGCAAGACAACTAAAGGTCTTGAAGAGCTTAAATACAGCGTGATGAATTTGATCTAAGATGAAGACGGCTTTGGGAACGCGCACATGGCTTTCGATTCCAAAATCAATGCTCATGCTTCCGAAAGGATTATCGCCAGATCTATAGTTGAAAGGACGGCACATCTTCCTACATTGCAGCACTGCACAGACTATTGCCAACGTCAGACAGCGCTTTTGGATCCCGAAAGTGAGACAGCTGGCAAAGCAAGTCTTAAGAATGTGCGTCCCGTGTCAGAAATTCAACAATCTCCCCTTCAAATATCCTGAAATGGACGACCTACCAGATAGGCGTGTGCAGCGAACACGTCCTTTTGAACACGTAGGAATAGACTACTTCGGCCCGCTGTCAGCCAAACGCGACGACCTGCATATCAAAGTGTATGGAATCATCATCACATGTATGGCGACGCGCCTCTTACATTTAGAACTGGTCCCAGACATGTCGACAAGCCAGCTGTTGAACGCACTGCGCAGGTTCTTCGCACGGAGGGGCATTCCAGCAAGCATCACGTCGGACAATGGACCATCGTTTTTGTTAGGCGAACAAATACTTCGTGAGACAGGCTTCCTCTGATAAATGACGTCACAATTGCAACTGCATTGGCTGAAGGGAATCAGAGACACGATGGTCGAAATTAACAACTCTATCGAAAGAGAAAGGCGAGAAGGTAAAGGAAGGACTGGATCGGCGAGGGCGATAGATGATCTGAAGCAAAGAAGATCACGTCTGCAAGCAAAGGAGGATCGTGTTGAACGAGAGATGCGGGACCTGGAGCATCGACTTGAGAGAGCTCGGGCTCGAGAAGAGAGAGGTCGGGAAAGAAGCGGCTCGAGAAGACCGGCGGAAAACAGGCACCACGAAAGCGGTTGAGGCGCTCAACAGATCGGTGGCAGGCGACTATCTTCTTGGCCGGGAATATAGAGGATCCTGTGATCTCTATTTCGTAGCTTTACGCTCTGTAACTTGCATAACGTTATCAGTAACCGCTCATGGAATGTCATAACATTGCAACTTAGCTGTAGAAACATTGAGCTTATCATGCTTACATCTAACATTTCTCGGCGAGCTCCGCCCACTTAGACAGAATAAAAGGGGCTCGCCGAGCTCGCTTGTCAGTGTTTTACCCTTGCTTTTATATATGTAATCATTTTACCGAATACAGTTTAATTACCCAAGTTTGAGGTGTCAACTGAACCACTGACACATGAACACTCCAGATACCCGGATAAGAGTGGGTCAAGATCAGCGAGGGTTCACCAGTGAGAAAAGTGGGAAATACACGTCGTTGGTGGAGCGTGTACCCAGGTGTGCTGGGCTTTGTCAAAGGTTTATGAAACGCGGTCCCAGAACACTCCAGATACCCGGATAAGAGTGGGTCAAGATCAGCGAAGGTCACCAGTGAGAAAAGTGGGAAATACACGTCGTTGGTGGAGCGTGTACCCGGGTTATGCTAGGCTTTGTCAAAGGTTTATGGAACGCGGTCGCAGAACACTACAGATCGTGGGTCAAGGTTAGCGAAGGTCTACCAGTGAGAAAAGCGGGAAATACACGTCGTTGGTGGAGCGTGTACCCAGGTGGCTGGGCTATGTCAAATGTTCATGAAAAGGTCAGAGAGCACATGAGACGCCGGAAAAAAGTGGGTCAAGGTCAGCGAAGGTCTACCAGTGAGAAATGTGGGAAATACACGTCGTTGGTGGAGCGTGTACCCAGGTGGGCTGCGCTTTATCAAAGTTCATGAAATTTTCGCTGAGCCCACCAGATACCGGAGAAAAAAAAGTGGGACAATGTCACACAGGGGTCTCCAGTTGAGGAGTGCGGGACACGCATGTTGTGAATGGATCCTGCACTGAGGTCGGGAAGCGAAATTAAAAAATCCGCAAAACGTTCCCAGAGCACTCGAGTACACGGATGAAAGTGGGCCAAGGTCAGCGAGGGTTCATCAGTGAGAAAGTGGGACACACACCTCGTTGGTGAAGCGTGTGCGAGCTGAGAGGGGGCAAACTTAAAGCTCTGTTAAATGTTTCCAGAGCACTTCAGATACCGGAGAAGATGTGGGCCAAGTTCAGCGAGGGTTCTCTAGTGAGAACAGTGGGACATGCACTCTCTGGCCCGGTCCTGCGCAGAGCCGAACGGAAAAATCTGCAAACGGTAGGAGAGCACTCTAGAACAGGGTTGGGCATAGGTCAGGAATTTGCGACGTACGGATCGGAACCGCCCCTCACCTCTGGAGATCACATTTTTTTCCCAGTGATCAGCTTTGAAGACATAGTGACTAGGATTGGAGAATGGGTTATGAGTTCGGAAAGGAGTCGAGGACATGAGGCAGTCCATAGATGGCTTCAACAGCGCCTCTGTGTCGCAATTCTGTTTGACAAATGAGGAGTGAGTGTACGATTAGGCTGCCGAACTGCGCAACGAAAATGTGGCTTTGTAGGGGTGAGATCCTCATGCTGCAGCTGAAGGTGACTTTATAAGGAAATCCTCGACGTGAGAACTTATGCTGTAGTTGAACTTCAGGGAAGCTGCAGTGCTCCTCAGAAAAAGGAAAACCTTTTAGCTCTCAACGCCATGTAGGTTTCCTCTCTACATCATGTACGAATGATTTTATAGCT